GTCAAAATACATATCGGCCAAGAGAGAGAACATACGATCACAAGAGATTGATCGTGATAATTCCAACGAAGAGGATATTTTGACATCACACCTTAAGTTTGATACAACTACGTACGAGCTCTTAAACACGGTTGACGATAAATTCCTTCGAGATGTTCATTTCTTGAAGAAATGAACATGAATCTACCAAAATCCAAAAGTGACAAAGAGAAGTTGTCTACATATTGATAACATGGAGTTTTTGAATCGAACAAGCTAGTTTACTGCATGGTGCGTTGTATGAAGCAATGAGGCTCTACCCACCACTTCCATTCGAGGAAAAATCTCCTATCAATCAAGATGTTCTTCCAAGTGGGCAAAAACTTGAACCGAACTCTAAAATAATGACTTTTATTTATGCGTTAGACAGGAAGATCCGTATGGGGAGAAGACGCAATGGAATTCAAGGGTTAAGCCATGAGCCTTCTTTCAAGTATTTGGTGTTTAATGCCGGTCTAAGAACTTGTATTTGTAGAGTAAACTGAGAATAACAGTTGCTTGTAAAAGAAACAAACACAAGAATTTGATAACCGAGTTCACGGCTAACCGCTACGTCTCGGGGAAGGACTCTTGCTTCCAAGCTTCACTATCACAAAGAGGTTACACACACACCACTAACTTGTGATGTCCTTGGTGTTTTTTCAGGTTTACAACAAGAAGATACAAGGAATCAAAGACAACAAAGATGAAGAATAAAGCTTGCTTGAGAAGCTCTTGTTCTCTCTCTCTTTCTCTAGAACACTCTTTGATGTCTTGTCTCACCCACCACCACTTTCTCTCGTACGTTGTAATAGAGATATATAGGTGATGAATTTGGGCCACAGATTATTGCCCACACCTTTGTTCTTCTTTTTTCTTTGTCATTTTCGTCAGGCCCACTAAGGCCCAAATGTTGTGTATTGTCAAACCCACTAACAATTCTCCACCTTTTGACAAACACATATCCTCGTGACCTCGACGATATCGACATCTGAGAGACCAACCTCTCCTCTTTCTCTTTTCCGTGAAGCCAAAACGTCACCACCGAATCGCCATCTCCTCCGGCGATCTACTCCGGAGACCTTCTCCATCTCCGGCTAACATCTCTATACCCGCCGGCCATCGATTTTTGGCGAATCTGAGACATCCTCGTTGTCTCTCAACTTCGCCTCTCGTCCGTGACACATCACAAAATCACAGCCATCTTCGCCGGTAATCTCCTCCGGCTGCGTTCTCCACCGGCGTCGCTCTCCTCCATCGATTTCGGCGTCTTACTCCGAAGAATTTGAGACCTCAACTTCGTCTCTTCCAACAGATCAGATCAGACGCAGCTCCTTTGTCTTCTCCGACAAAATTTAGAGCTTCCCCTTCGTCTCCTCTGGTGACTCAGACCACCGCCACCGCCTTTCATCTCAAGTAACCTCTAATCTATCCATTTCTTGTTGTTGGGATGATTAGAGATTATATCTTCTGAAAATTTGAGACACTTCAAATTCAATTTCAGCTGGAGATGATGGGCTCCACCTCTTCTTCGATGAACAACAGACCCGTGTTCTCTGCTGTTTTGATGACTACAGGTAACCTCTTAGCCTGAATCATCATTCTTCATGCCGTGTCAAGTCTCTGAATCCACTAATTTTCAGAATTGTTGCAAAATCATAACTTTGATTTCACAATCCTTCTTGCAGAAACTCCACCTGAGAAATTCAATTCTTGATTTCTCTTACTCTTCACAGCTCCACCTTAAGCAGAATCAACCTTTTTCAAATTTTTAACCCACTTCCTTGGATTCTTTTTCCACCAGATACTCCACCTGGAACTAGTGACTTCTACACGGCTCCAGTATCCTACAGGTAACTCCAACTCCAATTAAATACCTTACTCAATTCTGACACTTGAGTACTTCTCACAAAACTAACTCAACTTGATTATCCTGTTTTGCGAGACTATTGGAGTTACCTGGAGCCGCTGCTCCACTTCAGTGGATGTTAAGAAGCTCACAGCAATGCTGGAACTTCATACCAGGTACTGCTTCCCTCCGAAGAACTTTTGGTCCTTTACTTGAGTGAATCTTAGATAGACTTACATCCCCCTTGATGAAATCCCTCTTCTCTAACTCACTGTCCAGTTTTGAAAAGCCCTTAGCTATCACCCTAGCATTATACTTTTGCTTTTCAACAACTTCTAGTATACCTGGTTTCAGTTTAGAAAACCACTTACTCCCAACCACCTTCTCCTTTTTCCTTTGAGAATCTATGTCTTCATCTGTAGCACTCTTCCAATGCTTCCCTTTCGTGCTTTTCATCGTTTCCTTATAGGTTTTAGATTCTTTTGTTTCAGTTTCTGTAGCAACCAAAGCACATGCCTCAGAACTTGAAACTTCACATTTAACTTCTTCTGAACTTTTTGATTCTTTTGATGAAGATGAATCTCTATCTTGATTTGATGAGCTCTTTCTCTCAAAACCATAGGAAGTGGAACCTTGAATTAGATTCTCATTAGATGTCACCTTCTTAGACTTCCTCTTTCTTGATTTCTTTTCAACCTTAGCAATACTCTCTTCTTTAGTTTCAGCTCGTGACACATTCACTTCACTCTTAGCAACTGTACCTTGAAGATAATAGAGCCCTTGGTGGTACTTTCCAGATATCACCTTCTTCTTATCTTTGTAGAAGTGAACCATGAAATCACTTCCCTCATACTTGCAGCCTGATTTTTCTAGCATCCCATAAGAAATAAGATTCCTACCCACATCCGGCATGTATTTTACATCCTTAAGTATCACTACAGAACCATCTCGATTCTGAATTTTGATTTTCCCACTTCCTTCTATTTTTCCATGAGTGTTGTTAGCCATTAGCACTCTACCACCATTGAATTTCTTGAAGTCAAACAAGACTTCTTTATCAAATGTACTATGGAATGTACAACCAGAGTCCATAACCCATTCCTTGTATGTGCTTTGAGTGCTCACAGTTAACACCAAAGGTTGCGCAGGCTCAGTTGCAACATTAGCCGATTCTGCAGGTTTCTTTCTTTCAGGGCATTCCCTTTTCCAGTGATCTTCCTTTCCGCAGATAAAACAACCTATGTTGTTACTTGGCCTTGATTGAAATTTCCCATTCCCACTAGAACTTCCAGTCCATGGCCTTTTATTTCCCTTATTGTTTGATCTGCCTCTAGATTCAACCAAGAATGCTTCTGAATCTGGTTTTGACACGTTCAACAATCCCTTTTCTTTCAACTCAATTTCTTTTGAGTATGCTGAACTTATGACTGCGTTTAGTGTCAGGGTATCCTTCCCACTCCCATACTTGAGTGTATCAACTAGTGAATCATATTGTGGTGGTAAGCCAGCCATGAATTGTAGAGCCTGGTCTTCATCACTAATGTTGATGTCTAAACTTGCTAGATCTGCAACTAGCTTGAGAAAAGTATCCAGATTTTCCTCAATGCTTTTGTTCTCCACCATCTTGAAGCTGGTGAACCTGTGCTTCAAGTAGATCCTGTTGGGTAAGGTCTTTGTCTGGTAGTCTCTTTCCAATGCCTTCCAAATCCCAAGTGCAGTAGTCTCCTTCATAACCTTCCTTAGAATCAGATCGCTTAGACTCATGCTGATCAGATTCTTAGCTCTTTTATCTTTCTCAGCTTTCTTTGGATCTACCCTAGGTTCACCTCCTTCCTCTTGACTTCCAGGGTCTGATGGTGTAGCATCTTCAACCAAGGCAGATTCTAAGCCGAGAATCTCCAACTGACACATCATCTTATGCTTCCACAACCCAAAGTCTCCTTTGCCATCAAACTTCTCAATCTCAAATCTTGCATTTGTTGGTTCCATAGCTAGTTGTTTTCCTTGAATCAAACCTGGATTGCTCTGATACCACTTGTAGAGTAAACTGAGAATAACAGTTGCTTGTAAAAGAAACAAACACAAGAATTTGATAACCGAGTTCACGGCTAACCGCTACGTCTCGGGGAAGGACTCTTGCTTCCAAGCTTCACTATCACAAAGAGGTTACACACACACCACTAACTTGTGATGTCCTTGGTGTTTTTCAGGTTTACAACAAGAAGATACAAGGAATCAAAGACAACAAAGATGAAGAATAAAGCTTGCTTGAGAAGCTCTTGTTCTCTCTCTCTTTCTCTAGAACACTCTTTGATGTCTTGTCTCACCCACCACCACTTTCTCTCGTACGTTGTAATAGAGATATATAGGTGATGAATTTGGGCCACAGATTATTGCCCACACCTTTGTTCTTCTTTTTTCTTTGTCATTTTCGTCAGGCCCACTAAGGCCCAAATGTTGTGTATTGTCAGTATTGGTAAGAATGTAGCTATGAATATAATGAAGATTGAAGACAGTGGTCGTAGAAGTATTGCAAAACTATGACATTAAGATCGTCAAAAGTCAGAAGATTGAGCCAGTTCTTGGTCCTACTCTTCACATGCGGCTTGAGCTTCATGCCCGGTTAGGGGTGGTGCTGACAGTGCAATTAGCACAGGATCCTACAATTTTTTTTTTAGTTTTTTACAAGGTTTTAAGGGTCTTAAATTTTAGAAATTATAATGCACTGAATTTTTATATCATTAACATTTTTCAGAATTTCTTTTAATTGGGCACAAGATCCAAAATCTTTTTGAGCCGGACCTAATGAGCTTTAGAATCACAACTTCTAAGCGATGTTCAGCTTGAAATGAAATTGCTCAAGTTGTTTTAATATTGAAGTCGCAAATCCTAGTACGAAAAACAAAATAGAAAATGATTCACCACTTCATTTTAAAAAAATTGGTATGTAATGTATCTCTATATACCTTAGTTTTATGTATTGCTGAAATGTTCTTCTTTCTTCTTTTGGTTACTAATTTTTGTATGTTTGAATAATGCTATCCCGTTTGACAAAAAAAGAAAGAATAATGCTATCATTGCATGAATAGAAAATCATTGTATGTTTGGTTAATGCTATCCATGTTTTATCCGGATTTAGTTCAAGTTTTTCTTTGTTTTGTAGTAATAATGGTTTACGAATAATAATAGTCAAAATATACAGGCTACTAAACGAGAAACAAACAAATAAATTAGTGACGGATTTTGAATACATACATCGAAAACATACACAATATAGTTATACCATAAACCATTAGTGAAAAGCATTACAAAATCAAGACTTTAGATAACAGAGCCCGTTTGAGGCCCAATAAGCCCAAGAACCTCATCCCAAAGACCATGACTTTGGACAGCTGAACCAAGCTCAACAACAGTGGAGCTACAAGCAGCAACAGTCCAATAACCTCCCAAGATCTCTGCTTTCAACTGCTCTTTTTCCCAACCACAATACCCATCAAAGAATCTAAACTCACTTCTTCCAACCAAATTCCTCTTCACCATTTCTGCAGCCAATCCTACACTCTCTCTTGTTCCATAGTACAACCCCTTCATCACTTGCCTGAACACTCCGCTCTTACCAACCTCGTTGCCTCCACCGCATCTTGGACTCACCAAGAACAAGCCTTCTTCCAAAGGTCCACCAAAGAAGAGTCTTTTGTCTGAAAACGTTCCTGCCATGTCTAATATCGTTGACTTGGTCTCCTTAATCGACATCAGCGATGGACGGTTGAGGATGACTCCTATAGGACCTGAGGGTCCAACAGAAAGGAGGAGGATCACCGTCTTTTCGAAGATGTGGACACCATCTAGCTTCTCTGTGGCGATTAGAAGGCATCCTGTCTCTGGCTCATGGATCTTGTGTGCCCATCTGTTTCCAATTGTGATCAGTGAGGACGATGATGGCTGATAGTCCACCACCATGTCAGGGTTAGACCAAGAGGGCTGATCCTTCTCGGACGTTGCAGCTTGTTCCCCTACAACAAGCCTTGCCCTGAATTCCCTCCAATCAGCATCTGCTGTAGAATTGTTGACACAATCCTTGAAAAGATCAGAATCATCATCCAGTGGCTTCCATGAATCCGAAAGAGAACCTACTCAAACAAAAATGCTCTCATCAGCTACAAAAATTTCACTCAAGACATGCAAATTCTCAAACCAAGACATGTAATTGTATAACTCAGGCCGTTCTCATACATGAAAATGACCATGAAAGAGATCTTACTTACAATTTACAGAGATCGGAGAAGCAACCTTCCTGGTGATAAATTGGCCAGAATTTCTCTTGGGGCAAGTAAAGATTCTTGCTTTAATGAACGGGGCAAGCTCTTTAACACCAGAGATTGATCTTGAGGTAAGAAAACAAGCATCCATGTTACCTTCTCCCTCTATCTCTCTCTTTTTCTCTGACTCAATTCACTTTAGTTCCTATGAAGAGAAGGCAGAACATAAAAGTAACATCTAAATATAAGAGAGTGGACAACTGTGAACCACAGGCTGAATGTATTAAGGGTCCTAGTCAGAGGAATGGGCGATGGATATACTTTAGCCTTTAAGGCGTTGATGTATTTAAAGATAAACATTTCCATATGCGTTTGGATTCTGGATAAGAGACAAATCTTTTATCACCTTTTTTTTGATGATGTGTAGGCCTAGTGGCCACTCAAGGTTTGCTTCTGCAGTTACTTACCCACTCCTGTGGAAAAAAGCACATACAATTACTATATACACCAACTAAATAAACTCCATCCCCACAATTTCTCACCCTCTATCTCTTTTTTTATATGTAAATCAGTAAAAAAATTGGATCATTTATCATTCATAAAGGGTCTTAAGAACAAGTGAATGACAATTCTAACGGGTTTAGACTTTTTTTTTGGTATATGATCAAAGTCATCTATTGCGGATGGAACAAATCAAAGGAAGCACTATTGGTGGTCCTCTTTTCTCCATTGTTTTATTTCTATATTCAATGGAAATCACTTAAAAAACGAGATTAAAATGATTAAGACATTGATTCTTGTAATAAAATAAACCCCACGAGTTTTGTCCTAATTTGACCATCTAAACATCAAGTCTAAACAACTAGTTGTTCATCCAAAGGTAACATCACCAACAATACGTCATCATACTGACGTCCAATGGTAATACATCACCGACAATACATCTTCAGTGGAATTGTCATTAAATTCAAGTTCTAAGGATCACCTAACCAAAAGTTTAAACTCTATTCACAAAGTCACAATATTACTCACAATGAGGTTATGTGGGAGTTTGAATGTCTTTTGTCCTGCATGATCTTCTCTTGTTACTCTCATCTTCAAGGATGATCACATAACCTGTTGTGGGACTAAGAACCAGAACCTCCATGTCTGGAGTTAGTATTGCAAAATCAAATTGATCTCAAGATTTATAAATTATGGTATATACAGTACCCGAACTCGTTACAAGGATAAAAATCATCTTTGTGTTCCTTTGGAAAATGAACTACAAATTTATGGCCTAGGCCACACTGCTGATGCTCACAGCCTATAATAGATATATTACCTAATGATCTCAACATCGCAGATATAAACTAAGTAGTTTATCCAACAGCAACCAGCTCACCAGGATCTGGAGGTTCAATTAAACTACCAAGCATCTGATATATTTGATCAGATTTTGGGTGTGATTTGTCAAAAACTGTAAATTCGTGTATCCCATCCTCCAGTTCAACCGAACTAGCTCCAGATGGTTTCTCTACTCCCATGCTCTTCATCTTTGACCTTATGTCAGCAACCCCTTCCCAATCCTCTGCTGCTGCATAAATATTTGACAGCAGTGTATAGTTTCCCGGATCAGACGGGTCTAATTTAACCAGATTATCCAAAACTTCCTTAGCGATATCTACCTCGTTATGCATCCTGCACGCTCCTAGAAGAGCACCCCAAATAACAACATTGGGTTCCATAGGCATTGTTTGGACAACCTTTATTGCTTCCTTTAGCCGCCCTCCACGACCTAATAGGTCAACAAGACAACCATAGTGTTCAACTTGAGGAACAAGATTATACACTTTCTCCATTGAATAGAAGTAATCTATGCCTTCATCAATGAGACCCGCGTGATTGCAGGAACATAACACAGCAATAAACGTGACTTTATCAGGCCGAATCCCTTCCCTTCTCATTCTCGAAAAAAGCTCAATTGCTTCTTTTCCGTGGCCATGAACACCAAGACCATGAAGCATAGTGTTCCAAGAGACGAGGTCCTTCTTGGGCATGTTGTTAAACACATCAAACGCTTTTTTTAGGCTACCACATTTCGCATACATATCAAGTAGTGCATTTAACACAGAAGCATTCGAATTGAGGTTAGACTTTTTTATTATAGAATGAACCCTCGTTCCTAAACTAAGCAAACCAGACTCGGCACAAGCAGCCAAGATACTAATAGCAGCAGCAGCATCAAATCTCAATCCTGAAGCCACCATTTGGTCGACTAATTTATCAGCCTCTTTCAAAAGCCCCTTCTCCGCATATCCCGCAATAATTATCGTCCAAGTGACCACATTTTTAGCCAGCAATGGCATCTTATCAAACATAACTCTAGCCATTTCCATATCTCCAGCTTTACTATAACCCATAACCATCGTCGACCAAGACACCGTATTCCTCTCAGGCATTTTCTCAAACAATTCAAAAGCTTTACTCATCTCTCTACATCTAGCATAACCATCCAACATAGTATTCCAACTAATCAAATCCCTTTGCGGCATTTCATCGAACAGTTTCCGCGCATCTCTCAATTCCCCAGCTTTCACTAACCCACCAAGCATCGAATTCCAAGACACAGTATCTCTCTCACTCATCTTCTCAAACAACTTCATAGCATCTCTAACACCCAAACCACCACATCTAGAATAACAATCAATGAGAGCATTTGGAACATAAATATCCGACGAAAGCCCCAATTTTTCGATATGATTATGCATCATCTTCACCACAGGTAACCATGATTGACCCGAACAAGCTTTAAGAAGAAACGGGTAAGTGAAATTATCAGCAAAAAGACCAAATCTTTGCATCTCTGAGAAAACGAAGAAAGCTTGATACGGCTGCGAGTTCAACGCATGAGCTCTAATCAGAGAATTACAAAGATGAACATTTGGTTCTTGAACCTGATTAAAAACCCTAAGAGCTAAATTCGTTTGACGACAGAGAGAAAGAGCAGAGATTAGCTTTGGTGCTATGTGTAGATCTTGATGAAGATTCCGTCGAATTATCTGGGCGTGAAGCTGTTTCACTTGGTTTAAATTGGCGCATTTGGGAAGATCTTGGAGTCTCTCTTCGAAGATTCTCCGGGAAGAAACCCATGACGGAGCTCGAACCGGTAGTGATGACGTCATCAATGGCGGATCCAGTGGAGAGAGTGGTTTAAGCTATGATGATGAGAATTAGGGTTCGCATTATGAAGAAGAAACGGAGATTTTTGTAATTTGAGAAAAAAAGTGTGATAAGTAACTTCTGGTTCTGGATATTATCCGCGGCATATGTTCAAACGAATCACAACTTCGGCTAGTAGTAATAGGCCTGCGATTTTGACCCTAACCCAGAATACCGAAACGTGCCGAACCGAGATTTTTGGTTTTCGGTTCAGTTTCGGTTTTTTACGGCTGAATCGATCGCTATAATTTAATTTGGGTTCGGTTACCTAAAATTTTGGTTCGGTTTGGGTTGAACTTTTTTTAATAATTGGATTATACCAAAACAAGACCAGTTTATATCCAAATATATTAGATCGCTTTTCACCAATACTCGAATTTAATCAAAGTGAATTACCCGAATAAAACTATAAAAGTATCCAAATTTAACCGAATTTTAATAAAGAAATTTTTGAAAAGCAAAATTTCAGTTTTGAACCATCCAAACCAAATTTCTATTAACCGATAACCGAAACAATTTCGGTTAACCGATGTCATAGGCATAACTATTGTCAGTTTATTTTTACGTGAATGATAAAATTAATATATAGCAATAAATAACATAATTGATGGTTCAAACTTCGAACCGTCTGTTACACCTAAGTTTGAAGGGATTCATGTGGTTTTAATCTTTGGACAATACAAAACCTCTTAAATAATTCATTGAAATTGTCATTGATTGTAGTGACCTCATATACGTGACTAGTGATGTTAATATGGGCTAACCCACCCCATTTAGACCCATCCCATTTAAAACCCACCCCATTTAGACCCACCCCATTTAACCCCATTTAAGTTTACACCCCATTTAACCTCCCCATTTAAACCCATTTAAATTTCTTTTACCCATTTAAACCCATTTAGACCCATATAACATTGTTTTGTTCTAAACAATATAATATAATAAATAATTATTTTAATTGATTATTTAAAATTTACAGATTATTTCATTAAATATAATTGATAAATAATGATATAACTGTTTTTATTATTTTGATGAAGAATAATATAGTTTCAAAAAACGCAATTTTACGATTATGGCGGGAAAATTCGGGTTTACGGTTTTGCGGAAAACGTTATTTTATAGTATGATATTTTTGGTGATAAAACGCAATTTTACGATTATGGCGGGAAAATGCGGGTTTACGGTTTTGGCGGGAAAACGTCATTTTCCGCCAAAATCGCAAAATTGCGTTTTATCACCAAAAATTATTTTTCCATAAAATAGCGTTTTCCCGCCAAAACCGTAAATCCGCGTTTTCCCGCCAAAACCGTAAACTCGCGTTTTCCCGCCAAAACCGTAAACCCGCGTTTCCCGCCAAAACCGTAAATGTGCGTTTTCCCGCCAAAACCGTAAACTCGCGTTTTCCCGCCAAAACCATAAATCCGCGTTTTCCCGCCAAAACCGTAAACCCGCGTTTTCCCGCCAAAACCGTAAACTCGCGTTTTCCCGCCAAAACCGTAAACCCGCGTTTCCCGCCAAAACCGTAAATGTGCGTTTTTCCGCCAAAACCGTAAACCTGCGTTTTCCCGCCAAAATCGCATAACCATGTTATAGAAGACGTGGTTTTACATTTTGTTTTAAATATTTAAATCAAAAATTGAATTTAAGTAGAATATTAGTTTTAAATATATTTAATATTTTGCTCTTTTATTTTAGTTATTAAGATATTAACATTTTTAATAAAAATAACTAATATAAAATGAAGCATAAATGGGTTTAAATGGGTACCCATTTTATTTGTGTGAAACCCATTTAACCCCATTTAACATTTTTTCCTAAATGGGTTTAAATGGGTTAATTTTTTTTGTACATACCCATTTAATAAATGGGGGTTCCATGCCCAAGTTAACATCACTATACGTGACTAGTCCTACGCAAATTAAGAAAGTATCGAACAGGAACCGAACCAAAAGGAATTGAATCGAACCGAATGGAAATTATATAACAATTAAATAGATCTTATCATCTTAAGCTTGAGAACCGAAATAATAAAAAAAACGAACTGGTACCAAACTGGAATATTTATCCGATATACAATTATGTTCAAAAATTTTACTTAGTTTTTAGATATAACTAGGTTGTTAGCCCACGCGACGCGTGGGTTGTTACGTAAAGTTTGTTAATAAATTGATTTTGAAATAATATTAATTTTAATGTTGTGTAAATTTTTTTTGTATGAGTATTGTTTTTGTTAAAGTAATATATATGTCATAGTATATGTTTTTAAAAAAAGAGTCCTGTTAGGGAAGCACTAAAATGAAGGACAAAAACAGAAACAAAAACAAAGAAAAAAAACCCATAAATATTGATAGATGGAAAGATAAGTTAATATATCATATTGATTGTAGGAATAGTGGGACTTCCATCGCTTGTTCGCTCTGATTTATGTAGAGCAAGCCAAAAGAACATGTTTTTCTTGAGGGTACATGATTTAGGAGATTCAAATGCTGTCTGCAGTAAAATAAAAATGTTTGTAATAGTAAAAATCATTTAAATGAGCTAAGAGACGATAATGGGATTTTAGTCTTCAAAAGTAGAATTTCTTTAGATAGTATTGAGAGAGTTGCAATACCTTACATGTTGGGCTCAAAATATAAAGCTGTGAAAAGCGAGGTAGTTCCCTGTTGATTCCACAAGGAACACGGACTGAAGAAGGAACAAAGGTGTTTGAAGTTGGATTAACTTCTTTATTAGTTGTAGATGTAAAACTCATCATTTGATTATAAAGTCTCGTACTCTCCACATTTTGATGTTCTCTAAAGGGACGAAAATTTGTGTGTGTGTGTTTGGAGGAGCCATTTAGTTTTTCTTTAATATTATGCGTAGGATAGGTGTTTTTGGTGAATTAGTTTGTATTATATTTATAGCGGAGTTTTAGGAATTTTGAATACATGAGAGTGAATTATGGGTATTTATATTCTTAATACATGGGATATTCTTTTGGGGATACTGAATCAGTGCAGGGAAAATGGAGGGCATACGTTATGTATTGGTAGAAGGTCGTAATGATAAGACGATAAATCCTACAAATAATTGAAGAGTAAGAAAATATATTTGAAGGAATAGAACAAATTTGACAAAGTCTTACGTAGAAATAACAAAGGCGTGAAAGAGTCGTCAAAATAACAAACACAAAATCAAATGTAGCAGACTACAAACGAAATAATTGGATGTTAATTTATTAATTGGTGTCAATTGTGCAGGCCTTCTTGCTTTGTCTCTCTGATGTCTCTGATGTAGGCTCATATTCACCGTCTTAGTTACATCCGGCTGGTATCTACAGTATAACATAAATGGAAGGAATGAGAGACATACACATGTGACAAATTATATTATAAAACATCTGTAATGTTTTATATCACTTTACCTTCCCATTTGTTTTTAGCTCTGGGGTGGGTGCTGGATCTCAACATACCCAGACACAATGAATTAATGTCTCGTACTTTGATCTGAAGTTGTAGTCTATTATTTTAATTTCGAACTCAAATTCCCTTCCAACTAAATCGGAAAAAAATTTCAGGCACCCCATCCTTCATCACAGTCAACAGATATTGGACATAATTATTATAAGGATATCACATGTGTTGTCAGTTGTGAATAGTTGGAGTTTTATAAATGCGTTACCTGGGAGTCAAGCAACTCTGTAGCTGTCATGTTTATCAGTTTGGTGGTGTCTTCATCGAGCAATACAAATATGATCTTCCCAGAAGTGTCTGAGATAATTAGCTCCACTCGGTATTTCACAACACCAATAGGCTCATCACTAATAGAGCAGCGGCTGCAAATCAGTGAAGAACCAGATTTGCGAAGCTTTAACCCACAAGTACCACATGAGATGTATTTCCACTCACGTTCAGCCACTATTTCTAGAACGCAAACTGTGCAAATACGTAATTAGAATGTATTAATTTTTTTTTGGTATGTTGCAAATAAAGAAATGAAACCTTATATAGGAGGTGAATGATTTAAGTTAGAAAGTTAAACGTCACAGAGAAATAGTAAACGCAGTGTATTATTCCACCATTAATGAGAATAGGCAATCATTACGAATGTTTTGAATCTTCTATTCTAATAATCATAACGTATTCGGTATTCGTCTACATATTAACTCAATAAGGACATTATTGAGGAATATTCAACTTTCCATATTCTAAATATGAGAATTAACTTTACGTTTACCCTAAATTAATGCTTTAAATATTTTGGTTGTAAATATGCATTTAATATTTGATATAAGTGATTCATTCAATATTGGAAATAAACGTAAATCCAAAGAAATGCATAGGATTTAATTATTGTAATTATAAGATTTAATGGTTTTAATTTTAATTTATTTTTAAAATAAAAATGACAAGTGGACCAATCACAAGAGATTGAAACCCTACTTTTATATGTATGATTACAGAAAATGCTAAAAAATTTTTGGAATATATCCAAAATACCGGCAATTCCCAGAAAATATCCAAAATACCAAAAAACTCCTAAAAATATCCAAAAACACTTGAAAATACCTGAACAATACCTAAATGGATCCTAATCTTTAGAATCAGATCCAAACCAAAACCGATTCTGAACTCTAGAATCGAAAGAACCATAAACTAAATGGAACCAAACTGAATACACGAACACCCATGCCTATACGTGACTTATGAACCGGAGAAAGGGTTGGTGTACAGAGCCGGGCTCATTGAATTTCTTTTTAAAACATTTTAGTTTACATCATCAACTGTTTTTATTTTTGAGAAGAATTTGAGATAAAAACAGAGCTTGGCACTAGAAATCCGAGATTTTGAGTAGAAACAGAGATTTGAATGACTCTCCTTAACCGCATGAAGCAAACCAAGCATGTAGGCCTTCGTCCCTCCGATCAGTTGTATTGCCGAGAGTTAGTTCCAGAACTGATTATCAATCCATTGGATGAGCTTGGTTACACTACTTGGTGCTTCGTTATGGCGTCTTGTATTCTTTTC